GCCCCTGAGATATTGGAACACTGCTATCATGTCCCCACTCGTCCTTCTCTTCATTAAACTAGACATACCCAATTCCAGCAGCCGTTCCTTATATGCTTTAGCCTCCAGTCCCCTAATCATCTTTGTTGCTCTTCTCTGTACTCTTTCCAAAGTCTCCACATCTTTTTTACATCGCGGTGACCAGAACTGGATGCAGTATTCCAAGTGTGGCCTTACTAAGGCATTGTAAAGTGGTATTAACACTTCACGTGATCTTGATTCTATCCCTCTGAACATACTACAATTAGTCTGCGGCTTCACTGTTACTTTAGATTGGTTAGGACTTAGGTAGGTGATTACCAGGAAATACCAGGACTGTAGCTAAACTGGGAAATCAAAGGACATTCAAGGAGAAAGCACTGGCATATGTATATACTGCTGCCAAGAAAGCTGCATAGATATGTGCATGATGTCCCCAGAATTCCAGATTCACTCAGCAACTTCACTTTTTAAATGGTAAATTTTTAAAGATGGAATTAAAGCTGCATCATGAGAACGAACATCCTTTTTATAAAATGGATCACAGTTCTGCCTAAATAAGTTCAAGACTGCACTGCAGCAAGGTTTATTTCTGACTGTGTTGTCACCAATATGGCCAAAGGGAGATTTATTGGATAATAGCTCCTTCAATGGTTGGCACTCCATCAAGCTGATTTGTAGCTATTTGTTGTCCTGATGTTTTCCTATTTCTTTGTTGAAATGCAAAGAACTATCTTCATAAAAGTTATCCCTTCTATTCTCCACTTTTCTACCAGTCAGCTTGAAATAAAAGAACGTGCTGCTCAGCTTGTTCTTCTGTAATCTTTGCAGTCATTTGCTCATCACCTTAACTGACCTCTCAAGACAAGACCAGGCAATCTTTTGGAAGCCAAAGGCCAGATATTCTTTAGGTGGCTAAGTGGATGGATAAGATTCATTAAAAAAAACTTTATGGAGTCTTGACACACACCTTGCTATGTTCTCTCTCTTACACTTTGCAGGCAGATGAAGCCTATTTTAGCATGTCTTTGAACATCATGTCACTGGGTGGCAGTCAAAATTTGGAAGAGAAACTATAGAAAAACTGTGTGTTTAATTTTATTGGGAAACGGTTTTGATTCTTGTAAATATTGTAGAAGTCTTCCTGACAAAAGCAATCATCAGTAACAATCCACCCACAACATTTCAACCAGCATGACAACTGCCTGTCTGAACTTGAGATAAGTGCTGAAGTGCTCGTCTCTTCAAAAGTTGACCATATTCCCACCCTATTAACTGAAGAAATAATAATAAAAAATATGAAATGATGCAATTTCTGGATTCTTGTCTTTGCCAAGAGAAATCATAGCACCAAGTGATGTGCAGCCAAATTGTTTACAGGGAACTTACTATGGCCCAGTAGGGAGGTGTTAGTGGGTATGAGTCAAGCATACTAAAACAACAGGTGTTCTGCCACCTTGAAGGGAGAAGAGAGATGGCAAGAGAATAATTAGCAAACAATTAATTTAACAAGGGCTTAAATATTTTCCCCTTCCAATAATAAGGGGCTTTCATGAATTTCTTTCATCATATTCCTTGCAGAACAGCGTTACACACCAGCAATTTGTACCATAACCCATCACTAACTCAAGCAAGCTAACATGGAATTCTGTAGAATAAGAGATGAGCTTGGAAAGGTTAGTCAGACATGATGGTTGGACAAACATGAATTATGCCTAGGAATTACAAAAAGTTTGAAAAAGAAACTCAGATTGACTCCTCCCTAAACCACTTATTCTTGGTAACTTTAAGATGTGTGAACCTCAACTCCTAGAATTCCCCAGCCATCATGGCTGGCTGGAAAATTCTGGAAACTGAAATCCACACATCTTAAATTTGCCAAGCTTATGCGATACTGCATTAGAATAGGAGAGAGAGGACGAAAAAACTCAAGCCAGCTTCCAAAATGTTATTACTGTAGCTTCTCTCAATAGTTCCAGACCAACTTTAGTTAAAGGGTCATATTCTGGAAGTGAATGAGGTTTGTTTCCTCTCTGGATGAGGAGGAACAGGGATTGACTCCTAATCTTATCCTGGTAGTAAGTCCCAGTCTCTAGCAGTATTGATATGGATAACTGAGGATCTCGGTATCACTGAAATAAGTTACTTAAGATAGCCTTAACTCTTATCCCACTCATATTAGTTACAATGCTCAACCCATGAGAACAACATCAGCTCAGGGTCAACAGTGAGAAGACAGAAAGGAGGAGGAGTGCATTTTTGTCACCATGCTGTGCAAATAGCATTGCTTATTAGTAGTATATGCCTTTGATGTGTCAATCATTTGCAATTAGATGTGTTAGGTACTGGCTGTGAATTAACAGAGGCTGAGAACATGTTTACTAATGGCTTTACCCAAAGGGATTTAATGCTGAAAGAATCCATTTTCATGTATATCAAACCTTGACACATTTGATCCCGAATGTTCTGTTTTGCTATGTGTATCT